GGCCCCCAGCACAGCAAGGGTGGCGGGAGCCTCTCCTGCGTCCTCAGCAGTGCTAAGGATGTCCGACTGCAGCTTAGGCCTTCTCCCCACTGACAAGTGCACATCCCCCGAGGGCTCCCAGGCTGCCAGAGGGATGTCAGATTGCCAGCTTAGGCCCAATCCCCCCAGGGAGCGGGTCTAAGCCAGCAGGTGGTCATCCCCCAAGGTGTCCCAGACTGTGAGAGGCACAGGCTGGTCTCAGGGACACTCCCCCCGAGAGCACAATTTTTTGTGCTCCGGGCTTCTAGTATATATATATAAAAGCCTACGCGGCCATTATGACTGGGCTATAGCTATGACGTGCACTGACCACCAGGGGGCAGAGGCTCAATGCAGGAACTACCCCCTGGTGGTCTGTGCACTCCTACAGTCAACCTCCTGTGGCCGGCCAACTTCCTGCATTCCCTCCCTTCAGCCAGCCAGCCAACCTCCCACGGTCCATCCCCGCATCCAGCCAGCCCCAATCGGGACTGGGCGAGACAGCTTAATGGGCCCCAATCACTGGCCAAGCCAAGGTACCCCACCCATGCACAAAGTTGTGCACCGAGCCTTTAGTTCAGTCATAAACTTATAAAGAAGATGAAACTTTAAAGGAATTCAGACTAGCCCAGCCGTGGGCAAACTACAGCCCACGGGCCGGATCCGGCCTGTTTGAAATGAATAAAACTATTGAAAAAAAAGACCGTACGCTTTTATGTAATGATGTTTACTTTGAATTTATATTAGTTCACACAAACACTCCATCCATGCTTTTGTTCCGGCCCTCCGGTCCAGTTTAAGAACCCATTGTGGCCCTCGAGTCAAAAGTTTGCCCACCCCTGGACTAGCCTAAGGGTAGTCTTATTACATTTGGTAGTAGGTCTGTGCCCAAGACACTAACCAGCCATGCTTGCGTGTCAAATGTTAACCACTGATGCTTACGGATATTTTTGGTTTGTGTGTTTGCATGGAGTGCGGGTAGTCTTTATTTAAAAACTCAGGTATGCATGTGTAGGTTCATTAAGAACATTGCTGTAAGCTTGAAAGGCAATAAGAAGGCTTAATTAGAAGGGCTATTTGTGAAGAAAACATCTTTGTTATACATTTACACTTTTATTAAATATATTTTATTATTAAATTACAATAGTACAATTTTACGAGAAGGGTATAAGATGATAACTCCTAGAACAAGCATGAATTTGTGTGTATGCGTGTGCAGAGCATTACTTGCTAGGCTAAGTACACTTTATGGATATGTGGTTTAAAGATTTACTTTTTGAATTATACCTACCTCTGACATTTCACAGTTATTAGTAAAGAGGCAAGTTTTATTCTTAATAGAATAGCAAACCCTGTATTTTATAGGCTTTGGGCTCTTTTTTTTTTAATATATTTTATTGATTTTTTACAGAGAGGAAGGGAGAGAGATAGAGAGTTAGAAACATTGATGAGAGAGAAACATCGATCAGCTGCCTCCTGCACATCTCCTACTGGGGATGTGCCCGCAACCCAGGTACATGCCCTTGGCCAGAATCGAACCTGGGACCTTTCAGTCCGCAGGCTGACGCTCTATCCACTGAGCCAAACCGGCTTCGGCAGGCTTTGGGCTCTTCACTGGGGTTTTTTTGTTGTTAATACTACCACGAGGATATTTTTTCCATTGATTTTTTTTTTAAGCGAAAGAGAGAGAAAGGAGAGAAAAATCAATGTGAGAGAGAGACATCGATTGGTTGCCTCCTGAAGGCACCCCTGGGTTCGGGGAATGAACCTACATACCCTCGAGGGGAATCAAACCCTCAACCCTTTGGTGTGCAGGCTGATGCTCTAACACTGAGCCACAAGGGCCAGGGCACTTGAGTGGGTTTTAACTACTGTTCTTACACTAGGAATCCAAATGCTTGAACTTAAATTATAATAAAACAGTCAAATTATGTGTTTTTTTTAAAATCATCTTCCTTGAATACTTCTTCATTCAGATAATCAGATTTTAAGTTCTTCTACCAAAATGAAAGTTAGTTTTATACCTCTTGCCAAATGAAACAAGCTAATATCCATAAAAGAAACAATACCACTTAAATTAGTTCCAGTATTTAATGTAGATTTCATAGGATTTTTGGTATTATAAGGCATATATCCTGAGAGTTTTGGTGACTTGTGACTAACTTATCTTTTAGAAAAAAGGTCAGTTAGAATTTCTTGCCCAAAATATCATCTTGCTTTTTGTTTATGCATTAAATTCTTTACCTTAATGGATAGTAAGTTCATCCTTTTCTTCTATAAGTGTATATGTGATCATTCTTAAATTATTTGGCCACTTTTAATATGACTGTAATATTTCTTTGCAGCTAACTTTGCCACATGTGGAACCAAAAATTATATACTGTGCTTTTGAAGTCATATACTTTAAAGAGATTCAAAGTTATATTTAGCATTTGGGCTAAATTATTTTAAAGCTAATCATGGTGTTCATATTGCATAATTAGCACCACTTAATATTTTATTTAATTTTGGAAAACCAAAGTGATCTACTAAAATCTGTAGCCAATGAAACTACTTGTAACAACATTTCTGTGCTATTATTTTTTTCAACTCCCCTTTTCCCTAACACTCTCTTGTGTGTGGCCAGGTCAAGAAAACATGATTGAGAATACAGTGTATAATATACTTACCAGACCAGAAGCTACTTGCTTGGTCAACAATTCGACCCCTTCATAAAAATCTTAGAGCTGAAAGTTGACCTTGGAAGTCATTTATTATATGCATTCACTGAAGAATCCATTCTACAGTGACCCTGCCAAGTGTTCATTTATTCTCTATTTAACTGCCTTTTCAACATTTATGCTGCCCAAAGTTACTTCAGTGTTCTGGGCTTCATTTTCTCATTTGTAAAATGGCAATAAGAATAGTACCTAAGTTAGAGAGCCGTTACTTCAATTAATTAACAGTAATGGTGAACAGTAAGTGTTTTCAATAAAGGTTTACAGGTTTTCTAAATGCTTTATCTGCATTTTCTTATTTTATCAGGACAATTTATGTGTGATTAACAATTGGATGATTGTTTAAATGATTGTATCTAATCACTGTGAGGATTTAGGATGTATTGTTTATATCTAAATTGTCAATTTTAAATATAGGCTAGCATTGAAAATATAACTTTGAATAAAGAATCTCCGTCAGTGATTTAAGTATTGAAATTGTAACAGTTGAATTGGTGAGGGCATGAGCGGGGGGCGGGGGGAGGCAACGGGGCAATAAGGACACATATGTAATACCTTAATAAAGAAAAATAAATAAATGTTTATTATTTTTAAAGTAAAATGTAACCATTAATGTTTATCATAGCTCTACTTCTATATAATTTAATTTTAAATAATTATATTTGGAAATAAATTGACAGCTATTAAGGATATTAATAGAAAACCATTAGAAAAAAGAAAAGTTTAATTATTCAGTGGCCAAGTTGCCATTAGCAGTACCATAGCCCAGAATATCTCCTACCTCCACCAACCTCAGTTGTAAAAGAACATTTATATAGTTTCAAAGGTGACAGTCTGAAAGCTGATACCACTAAAAGATTTCACTAAAAAATTAACAGGTAAATTATTAATAAGAAAATAATAATTACCTTTATTATAAAATTTCAGATTATTCTTACATCCCAGAAATTCATTTTATGATGACAATTTTTAAAAATATATATTTTATTGACTTTTTGCAGATAGGAAGAGAGAGGGCTAGAGAGTTAGAAACATCAATGATAGAGAAACATTGATCAGCTGCCTCCTGCACAACCCCCACTGGGGTTGTGCCTGCAACCCAGGTACATGCCCTTGACCGGAATCGAACCTGGGACCCTTCAGTCCACGGGCCAACGCTCTATCCACTGAGCCAAACTGGTTAGAGCATGATGACAATTTTTGATTTGAGCCTCAACTTTGGGTGAAAATTGCTCAATAATTTGACTAAAATGTATCTTTGGTACAAATGTATCTACCTCTGTTATCTTAATTGTGTTGACTATTGGAGGATGGTACTGTTAGCTGGCACTTTTCCAACTCCTTTTTAGATGACTATAAACAAAAGTGTCAAAGAGATAACAGAGGGATTTAAAACTAAGAACTCTAGTATTAGGATAAGAAATACCTGAATCCTTTTTTTTTTTTCACCTATGCCATCAGTGGTACTGTCCATTAATTGTTAAGTGAATACATTAGTCAGAAGTAGCCATAATCTGTGGAAAGAGCTGAAAGCTAGATAACTTCAGCTGAAGTTTATAATAACTTGCCTTTTGTCCTTCAAAATATGCACCAAAGATGTTCTCTGTGAACAGGTATTACAGGTACAGCGGTGAATAAGGCAGTCTCACTCCTTAGGAATTCATGGCTGAAGCAAGAGATAGACCTATAAAGATATAATTATGACTAAATAAAATAACATTATTATTTTGCTTTTCATAGTAACCATTTCAGTAGTAGGAGAAATACTTTACTAGTGCTTTTTCTTCCTACTGAAAACTGTTAACTAAACAAAAAGACGTAGCAAAAGATGTAATTTTAATGCTTCCCTACCTGTCATTAGTGCCACAAATAATGGCCACAAAACTCTTTGGAAGCTGAAGTCTGATTCCCTACCTAAGGTCTAGTGATAAAGAATCTGTGAAATTTAAGATATTTCCAATTTTTGACATTGCCATTAGCAACTGGTAATCCAAACAGAAATGTCTTTAATATATATATTTACTTATTTTATTTTTATTGATTGTTATATAAAATAATTCTGAACAGGTATTTTAAATGTTTCCTCTGACCCCACCCCCCACCCCCAATTCTCACAAGATAAAAGTACTGTTGTCTGAGTGTCAAAGGAGTTCCTTCCTAGGCTTACATAGTAATAATTGACTATTTGTTTTCGATAGGAATATGATGAAGAATGGGCTAAGAAAATTCAGAGTGAAAAGTTCCGCTGGCATAACTCTCAGTGGCTGGAAATGGTAGAGAGTCGTCAGATGGATGAGAGTGAGCAATATTTGTATGGTGATGATCGAATTGAGCCTTACATCCATGAAGGAGATATTCTTGAAAGACCTGACCTTTTCTACAGCTCAGGTAAGATGGTAACCAATTGTCTGCATTCTAGTTTGATCTGTCAACCTTGCTCATTCCCAAGCTTCGTAAGCACTTCTTTTATTAGAGTATAAATGTCTTCTGTTAATCATTTCAGACATAACATCAATACTCACCAGGCAAACCTAATAACTCACTGTTATTTTTCCAAAATAATAACTTTCTTATTATGTGATCTCAATAAAAAAGGCCATGGCCAGGAAAATTAATTGCTCTTAATTGATTACATTCTAGAATATATAACTTAAAATGACATCTTTAAGACTTCTGACTTCTGTTTGAAAGTGTAATATGTATTTTTCTTTATTTATTTAAATGTATAACTTAATTTATGTTTTGTTTTCCCTGTATTTCATTTTAACACTCTACTTTTGCCATAGTTTTGCTTTATTTTCAAAGTAGTAAACTATTTGATGACTCTTATTTGGTTGGGATGATGTAGATACTTTATAGCGATAAATTTTTCCTTCTAAACTTGGCTAGTGTTTTCAAGGTAAATCTTACATATGTTACAACCTTGTTGATTCTGCCATACTGCCTTTTTCCAGGGATGAGTTTGGCACAAAGATTGGTAAGTTTTTCCATATTTTGGCTTTTAATGTGTTTCACAGTTGCCAGTATTAATATTCATTGAATTCATTTAGTTGAGGAATGGAAGGAAAGGATTTCTAATTAACCCCTAGAGTGCCGGGGAGCGCGATCACGCTCCTCCTGTCTTTTGCCAAAAGTGCTGGGAGCGCTATCAAAGCTTCGAAATGGCGTCCAGTTCTAAGTCTGCTTTTATTAGTGATGATGATATTGCTAAATATGTCAGTGTAGTAAAGGTTTTCCTTAAGTTTTTGAATATGTAACTTCATTTACTTGGATTCATAATTTTTTTCCTAAACTGCTGTAAAATCAGCAAAAATGCCTTGGCAATTTTGGCGTAGTTCCTAGGATATTGGTTGGCACTCAAAGGGTTAAGATCTGTAGCAGGTTAGAAATGAAAAGCATGAAAGTACTTATATCTAAATTAATGGCTCACCTTTTTCCTACTATGTATTAATTCATGTGTATTCATAATTGGGTATTGTGCAAATTGCCCATAAACACTGCATTATTTTTATATTTCATATAGTTATTTGAATCCTAGAAAATTGATACTTTACTTTGAAAATCAAATAGATTTCTTCCTAACTGAACTTTACAGTAGTTATGAAATACTGCTTTGTGTTTCAAACCAGATGGTGTAGATCATTAATTTCAACCAACCGAAATTTCTTAGTTCAGTAATGGCAAGCAGCTGTTCCTTACATATTCAGATATTCATGAAGTAAAATGATGTAAAATATATATGATATGAGTTTTTTTGTTAATAGAAATCAGAATTTCTTGGAATCAGATTTCTTGCTTTGAAGATTGATAGCTACTTTTCAGTGTGAATCATAGTTTTCAAACCAAATGAAACTTTTAACCACAGTATTCAACTTTGTTGTTTTAATACAATTAGAATTTTAGAACAGATTTCTAAAAAGTTAAAGCCCAGCGATCAACCAAAGGACTTGTATGCATGCATATAAGCATAACCAATGGACACAGACACCAGGGGGTGAGGGCATGAATGAGAGTGGGGTGGGGGAGCAATGGAGGGATTAGGACACATATGTAATACCTTAATCAATAAAGAAAAAAATTTTAAAAAGAAAGTATATGTGGACATTTAGTACATAATAGAAGTAGCATTTTATATCAATGGGAATAAGATAAATTATTAAATAAATGATCTTGAAAGAAAAAAAAAAAGAAAAAATATTCAGTTTGCTGAGAGGACTTCGCTATAATTAAATAAAAGTCTTATCAATACCCTTTAAAAAAAGTTAAAGCACATTTCCAAAAATTAATTTATTTAAATTAACCTCTTAAATGAAAATCATAAACATTTTTATGTAAGATAGTTTATAATTAAAATGTACAACTTAGGCTTTTGTGGAAAATCTAAATTAAATTAAATAAATTTATTATAGCAAAATTTAGAAACAGCCACCACTGGTGGGAAAGTAAATTTAAACATTTGAGGGATGGAATATTATCATTAGATATACTCATGGTGGTTTTTTAATACCTGTGGCCTGATGATAGGGTGGAGATTACATTGCTGTGATTTTAAAGATATAGTTCTTATATCAAGCCATCTATTTTATTAGTGTATTAATATTTTACCTATTTCATTTTCCATGAATAGTTCATATACTAAATGAATCTCTGTGATATCTCTTGATGTGTGTCATAGAAACCTAGATAATGCCAGCCTCTTTTCTCTTATTGTGTGCCATTGTATCTTCAGAAACTTCAGAGAAATTTGTAATTCTACAGATTTAAAAGCCATCTTATTTAAGTCCCTGGTCTCCATGAAACGTTAGGCTTCTTCCAATAAAAGCAGGGTCAGTAGCTTTTTAGCCACAGAGGTTAAGCTTAGTGGCCCATAACTCCCTGGGTTTTCTCTTTTACTTTAAATGAAATATCATTTGCTACTTTGTAGTCATTAGTATTGCCTTCTGTATATTCAAACTGTTAAATATGTCAAAATGTATGTTTCTCTCTTGCTTTTATTTTTTTTAAGGATTTTAATATTGTCATATAAAATAGGAATCTAGCATTTCCTCTAGTTACAATATTTTTTTCTTGGAGTCTGAAATTTTTATGATTGTAATCACTGACTAACTCCTTTTCTGCCATGAAAATTATGCTGTTTGCTTTAGAACATTCACCAACAGAGGAAGCGTATTGTCACTTAGAGTAAAGCTGTACTACTGCCACTACCCACTTCTAAATGACTTTTTACTTTTTTGTTTTTCTTCATCAATTTTGGTGGATCTTATTCCTAGCATTTGACATGTAAATACATTTCTGGAATATGAAGCTTAAAATGGTTTGCTTCTGTCTAAGAATCATTGTAAAACTACAGTTTTCATTTCCATATGTGTTTCTATGGTGTGTCTTATCAGAGACAGCCAAGTAAGTGATGATTTATCTATTTGAGTCATCTCTTTTTCTCATTTTCTCCATTATTGATATCTATTTTATCCCACACAATCACAATTTCACTTTTAGCTGGTTCACCAAAGAGCCCAATATTATGTTTTCATTTGACTTTAAAAAATGAAGCGTATTTAAGTAACAGTATATAAGAAAATAATGTTTTTGTATCTGTTCCTTTTGTTCACAATGTGCATACGCCAGTTTTTTAACTGACTTCCAGAAATCAGAAGGCTGGTAAATTACCTGTGCTGACAATCAATTTGCTTTGATTTCACCCTTACTCCAGTACATACCCCTTTTACTTATAAGCATATTTACCATCATTACTCGGAACACCTCAGAAAGGTGTGTTGGATGTAACCATGGCATAAAGGCCTCATATAATTTAATAACCTAAATGTAAATAATGCTCTGCAGCTTACAGCATGCTCTGGTGTATGTCACCTGCCTTCTGTTTGTTCTCTGGTTATTTAAAAGGGACATGGAATCCTTCGGTTCCTTGAATAAGAAACAAGGTTAGAGTAAAATACTACTAAGTTTATCTGGAGTTTGTAATCAAGAATAAATGATTCCTCTGTAGTTTTTCTAGAAAACAATTATTTTTTGGCTTCAGAATGCTGAGAAACAGATAGTTCGAAGAAGTTGGGGTGCTTGAATGGAAGATTTAAGGTATAATTTAACTTTTATTAAGTTATAAATAAATTCTAGGGAAGAGAGATTGCTCACATATCAGAGTTGCCTAACTTTTGTCAAGCCATGAAGGGCACTGTAGTAACTGTGGTTCACAGAATGAGCTGCAGTATCCTAGAAGTACTAAAAAATAAGTTCAGAAATATAAATTTGCTCTTTTTTACTCACATGATATCAGGCTTATTTTCTTGTTAAACTAGTTGTGTTCTGGGTTTATAAAATTTCTGGTTGAATCTTTAAACTGAAAATATTTAGTTTGATATCTGATGAGCTCCCAGTTTATAGTTCCACTCTGTGTTCCATTTATCCTTTTGCTCCTCATTTTTCCCTTTGAAGACAGTGGGAGCTCTGATCACAATGACGCTATTGAGAATTTGACATTTAGTTTCTTCCTAATCTGGCTCACGTCACTAGGTCATGTTTCATGTAATAATTTTTAAAATATTATTCCTTTATCTTTTTATTTAGTGTATTTTATCTGAAGTATTTCTGAGTGTAGACTCTTTTCTTCTACTGGCATGCTGAATATCTTTGTATTCATTTTCAAACTGTGGTATACATTTTATTTTGGTATTTTACTTAGCTTTGTTCCCCAAAAATTGGCAGATTTCTTGAACTCTGATCCTCAATTATTTGGTTTTCATTTAGCAGAAGAGCTTGTTGATTTTTGTGGCCTTAAGCTTATTTTTAGCCACACTTTCACAAAGTGTTAGATCCATATACAGTTAATTTTTTAGCTGTTCAACTCTTTATGGAATCTTGGCATTCCCCACACCTCTTCTTCCCCTCCTTCCTCCCCAAGTAGGATTCTCTAAGCCCTGCAGACACACAATCCTGCTGCAGCTTTTTGTCTCGAGTGCTCATTTGGTACATATACCCAATCCCATTGTATATTATTTATTAATGAAATGTATTATTTAATTGCATCTTAAGTGTTTGCCCTTTATTTCACTTAACATAAGAATCTTGAAAACAGAAATTATATATTGTAATTTTTGTATTGACCACAGGACCCAGGAAAGTATTGTTACACATATGATAAGTATAAAATTGTCATCTGGTGTCTGAGTAATTGACTTACCAAATTTACAAATTTAAATTTGTAAATAGTGCAGTGAGTGTGACCTAGCCAATATCTATCTAGAGGTCACTTAATCCAGAATACTTTCAAAATAGGAAACTTCTCAGAACTTTTCAAATAGTTATTACAAAAGCCATAGTTTATCTGGATTCTTAGTTTAGAGCAAATAAGAAAATAGATTCAAAAATTAGTAAGAAGTGATAATGCAGACCTGGATTTAGGAAAAGAAGCCCTTTATAATCAACAGAAAAGAACTCAAAAAGCATAGTAGTGTAGAGCCATTGAGTGTAAGTAGTCAAATATATCTAACCACCTAGGGCTTGCTACATGATAATTGATGCTTATAATGAAGATTGAGTCATCAAGAACCATTTAAATATATTCTGTACACTTCATAAAAACTCAGGGAGTGTAAAATATATTCACAAAGATTTCTAACCCAAGTTTGTGTGTTGTTTTAAGGTTTGTCAAGCATTGCTTATTTAGAAATTCACTTAACTTGAAGTATCTAATTTCCTAATCATGTTACCAGTACACAAATGAAGCTGTGTGGGTATAAAATGCAGGACATACTAACTAAAGTTTTGCACTTTACTGACAGTGTGCTATTTAATGTCTCCTTATCTTCAGTCATTTTATTTCCTTGCTGTCTGTCCCCCCTTACCTCGCCTCACCCCTGTCCTCTTCTGTCTTTGTGAGCCACCTGAAGGCAGAGATTGTCTTACTCACCTCTGCACTAGTATAGTACTGCCATATAGTAGATGCTCAATAAATGTTCAAGCTTTGTGCTGGATTGTTTTAAAAGAAAGCATGTATGTATGTATGGTCTTCTGTTCATATTCCCAATAGAAGAGCATGTCATGCTAACATTTTATTTCCAGATTAAATATACAGGTTATTTGCTATTGTGATGCCTGATAGAATAGTTTCCTTTTTATTCCCTACAAATATGTTTTACTAGTTACCATCTTCCTTTTTTGTAGATGGGCTAATTGCCTCTGAAGGAGCCATAAGTCCAGATTTCTTCAATGATTATCACCTTCAAAATGGAGATGTCGTTGGACAGCATTCATTTCCTGGCAGGTAAACAGTCTTTCCAAGAAAATTTGTTTCCCCTGTTTTTAAAAGCTAGAATTCTCTTCATTTCCCATTTTTCTATCTTTGTTCATTAAAGAGGAAAAAAATACTCAGTATTTTCATGATTATACTTGCTTAATTTTAAATTAATTTCTGAAGTTATATTTTCTATGTAAAAAAAGAAAGGACATCACAGATCTGGAAAACATACATGCTTCATCACTGATTTTCAAAATCCAGGCTTTCTTTTGAAAGAGACAGGACTTTTGTCAAATTAATGAACCCAGATTGTTTTCCAAAGCTAATAAAATATAAAATAAAATAAGGATTCAATGCATGTATTTTACCAATTACTCAGACATCACTGTTTTTGAAAAGTTGATGCTTTGATTAAAAACTTTTCCTCCTTGGATGGCATGCAAATAAAACATTTAAGGCGGGAAAATCTGACATGTCAGCATTGTTCTACAATTGATTTATAAAATTTTACCAGAATGTGTAAATAATCTTTTCTCCATGATATCATCCCTTGTGACGTAATATTTGATTTTAGACTGACTATTGAAATTTCACATCAAATTAGTCTCATGAATAGGTGTAGTCTTATTTGCTGTTAAGACTATTTTTCCTTTAAATTATTTTTTTTCTTATACATTTGTACTTTTCAGTAGCATGAACTGTTTTCTGTTTGGAAGATATATTTAGGCATTATTTAATTGAAAGGATACAATTATGACTAATATTTTATAACTCTTATTGATCACGTGAAATAAGCCATTTGATTCAGCAGTAATTATTTACAACCATTATTGATCATCTATTGTGTATAATCTATTTTACAAATATTTATTATGTTTATTTTAATCTGCCCAGCAATATTTTACAATAAGTATTGTTATAGCCATTTTGCAGATGAAGAAATCAAGGCTCTAAGAATTTAAGTAACCAACTCCTACTAGGAGGATATTACTGAAAAAATTTGAACTCAGATCTGTATGTCTCCAAAGTTTATGTTCTTTCAAACATGATGCTTAATTTGGAAGGAAGCAGCATACTATGATGACTTCTAAACATTTGGGGTTTTTTACCACAACCCCATTAAGAAATACCTTTCGTATTGCAACCCAATGCACACATACACATTTGTTTATATATATATATATATATATATATATACCTGTATATATGTAAAACAAAAACTTCTTAAAACAGTAATTACTTTTACTATCTGTAATGCACAATGATAAGTTCTGTTTTATTCTATTACTTCATGTTTGAAATGCACATTGCAACCCACTATATTGTTTCACAACTCATTGATGATCGTGACTCAAAGTTTAAAAGCATGGTGGAAAATGTAGTATTACATGAAATATGATCCCTTATATGTAGTTCAGTATTCCGTAGTGGACTTTAAATAAATAATAGCACTTTCGAAATCGTTTTATTGTTATACTGGATGTCACGGTAAGAAACTCCTGGCCTTAGGAAATAAAAGTTAAACATGGTTACATACCAGAAAGCATATGGCTTTTGATTACTTCTGATGTTTCTGTCTGTATTAGCCATAATCACTTAAATAGAGGCTCTGTTTAATCATAACTACTATACGCCATCATGGGACAGTTCCTTATACAAATGTTTTCTGAAACATAATTGGAAAAGAAAGAAATGATTTGGGTTTATAATCCTAATATTTATATGGAAGATTTTTGCTGATGGCATTTACAAGATTAATTCTGCCATTTATGTTTCATTGTGAAGAAAACATTATATTTGTATCTCCTTCAGATACTGCCAATCTCCAGTGTAAAGAAAACAGACGGATACTAATTATGCATTACTTACTCCAGAAAGACGTGCTTTCATTTTTTTAAGAGCCCGAACATTTTCATTAAAATTGGATGTACAAAACAATGAACTTATGAGCTCAATTCAGCAAAATTTCTCATCTGGTTTTCAAAATGGTCATTTTATAAAACAATAAGTATGTTTTGAGCAACAGCTATACTCAGTGACTAAATTATGCACTGTGTCCAAAGATTTCAGGGTTTTATTTCTTAATTCTGTTAATAACTCTTTAAAAATGACTGGGAAAATTCTCTTACCTTTGTATCTTCAGTTTCTTTACAAAGGTAAAAATATCATCTATTGTGTATAATCTATTTTACAAATATTCATTATATTTATTTTAATCTGCCCAGCAATATTTTAAGACAAGTATTGTTATAGCCATTCTACAGATGAAGAAATCAAACACTACCCTCTAATTTGGGTAGTGTTTTATATATCTAAAAGGCACATCAGAATAATGTTGGCTTAAATTACTAGTTAATAAAACATACTATAGACTATGTTCAAATCAAAAGAATGATATTTATTATAATCATTTTGATTTGGGAATTATTTATCCTTTAAAAAGAACTTCCCCTGAGAAAGTTGTCTTTCATCTCCTGTCTTTTATAATTTTTCAGACCTTAAATCATGTAACTGTATCGTTTTCTTTTTTTTTATTTCCAGGAGAAATAATTTTCAATGAATTTCCTTAGGGTTTTTTTTGGGGGGGGGCGGGGGGTGTTGGTTAGGTAATAGATCAAATAAGAAGGAACTTTCAATTAGATCAGCAGAGATACAGAGAAAGTCTACAGTGTAGCCCAAACTCAGTTGTTTTTTTCTGCATTTCCTACTCTGGAATCATTTACTCTTGCTTTTGTTCAATCATTTTTGACTGGTTAGGATTCTCTTTTAATAGGATTTCTATGCTCTTCTTTGATAGTAACAAACCATAGATCTTATCTGGCTTATTTTTTAATTCTGCAAAGATTTAAGCATTTTAAATTGCTACATAATTATTCACATATTTTGGCATGAAAATTTGCCACAAAATGTCCCAGATGTGAAATTTTAAACTAATGGCTACCTTTCAGCTTCTGATATCCAGTAGGTAAATTTAAAGCCTATTAGATCAAATAACATTGACTGAAAATACTATTTTGAAAATTTTTATTTTAAGCAAAATAGTATTTTTTTAGAACTATAAACAGAAGATGTTAAACTCTTAATCTTCATCTTTGCTGTGGAAATAAGATTAAGCAGACCTAATGGACAACTTGAAGAATTTGGGTTAGTTATGAAAAAAAAAACCTCTTGATTGAATTTTAAATACTGAAAAAGCTGATTTTTAAATACTTTTTAAAAAAGAAAATGTTATATGTTCTGAGTTGGTTTCTGAACAGGGAAATTGTTCAGATGACTTAAAAATTCTTTCCCTGTTCCTTTTCATATATCTTTGATAAGTAAGCACTGTCAAGTTATCTGAAAAAATAATAAATTAATGTATAGCCTAGCCGGTTTGGATCAGTGGATAGAGCATAGGCCTGGGAACTGGGGCGTCCCAGGTTAGATTCCAGTCAAGGGCAGATGCCTGGGTTGTAGGCTTGATCCCCAGTGGAAAGCATGCAGGAGGCAGCCAGTCAATGATTCTCATCACTGATGTTTCTCTCTCTCCCTCTCCCTTCCTCTCTGAAATCACTAAAAATATATTTTAAAAATTAATGTATAAAATGTAAATTTTTTTAATCATTGTCATTGTTTTTAACATGAAACAATATGGCAGTGCCAGGTGGCATGCTCTTTAGCCAATACTCATGGCTTTTTGGTCTTTGGGGTTTTAACATATCCATTTCACTGGGTTCCAGTCAATTGATGATCCCAAGTTCCTTTGAGGGAAAGAATACACTTCTAATTTTTATTAGAGTTTTTTTTAATTGTTCAAAGAAAAACCCTTCACTTTCTTCCTAAAATGGCAAAACTTAGTAATAGGGCATATCTATTAAAATGCAGAAACCAAGCCAGATTTAGAGAACAGTTCAAATTAGTCTTTTTCTTAACATCCAAGTCAGGGGCCCTGCTTAATCTGAATGCCTGCATTTTTGTAATATAACAAGGCCATGTAAATGGAAACATTGAAAACTGTAAACTCATCTATCCTACTCTCCAAGGGAGATTGGATATCTGAGAAAATAGATGTGGCAGTTGGACAGCGAATCCTGGGTTTTAGACATGCCTCACTATCAGTCTGAACCTCTGGGCGCCAGAATTCCCCGACATTTAGAGGTAATGCAAAATGCATTAGGGCTTCAAGGCATTAGCTGCACAGTTGCCAATCCCAGAGGGTCAGATGAAATCTCCCCCTCCCCAAATCTGAACTGGTGTTAAAAGTGGAACTTGCTATTGAAGCTAATTAAAAATAATAGGAGTAAGACTAGCTTTCTCCCCCTTTTTACCGTGTATCCGTACCATATTTTTGGACCGTTTTTTATTATAACTCTTACTTTTCAAGACTAACAAGAACCTCATGTTGAGTATTTTTAAACTGCTTCCAGCTTTTACAAATCAGTTTTTGTTGCAGTAAAAATGGTCCATTTTTCTTTTATAGGAATCCAATTTTCATAAACTGGGAAAAAATTACAGAGGCTGCTTAGGTTTCCTTGGGGCTTTGAACAATGTTCTTCAGAGGGAGGGCCTGGAGTTCTTTGTGGTTGCCACAGTGATGTCATTTACTGACCATCTCACTGGAGCCAGGGATGAACTCGATGTGTCGTTATCTGAGCCATCTGATTCTTACACTTTCATTTTCTGTGTCTGTTAGACAGCCCGCCTCTTTTTCCTTCTTTCTTAGAATATGTTGGCATGAACTTTCTGTGCATTATATGAATTATATATTACCAATATGCACCTTTTATTCTGTTCACTCAATTTATTTTTTTCAAACATTAACTCACAGTTGAAATGTTAGTTGTACTTCTAAAAATCATACTGAATATACCTAACAAATTACATACTTCCTTAATATATAAGAAATAATCTTTTATTCAAATTTTTAAATGTATATTTTTACCTAAAACAAGGACTCTACATGTAAAAATTAGACATTTCTTTAGTTATTAGGCCACCTTGATTTTACTCAGCTATTTACTTAGTTTTTTTCACTTGAGAAAAGCACC